TGCTGTGGGACCTTTGGGGAGCTGAGATTCTGATCAGGGTTGGGTGAAACAGCTCAAAGGACTCAAATCTCAGCTTCCTTCATGTCTGGTGTGAGGACAGCGTTGAGTTGGGTTGGTGGATGTCTTTGGGCAGTGAGCTGGAGCAGATACCAGGTCTGGCTGCAGCCCCATGGCTCTCAGCTGCAGCACATTTGTGATGTATATGCCTGATGTGGTCCCTGTGCTGGGTTCTTGCTTGCAGCACCATCAATCACAAATTCAGCTTTCTTACTCTCAAATGATGCATTTTAAATTTTTTACAGCAACAGATATTTATAATCCCATTAATTTAAGGGTGTTTTAAAATGTTCGTTTAGTGTAGTGCTCCCTTCAGAGCAAACCAGATATTTTGGGGTTTTGTCAGTGACAAAAGCAGTGCACTTACTGTTAAGAATAACTTGGCCTTACCCAGGGTAGTGTATTGCAAAAAAGTGTAACGAGTACATAGTTTTGAGTTGGTTAGATGGAAAACAGAACCAGTGCATTACTCATCCTGTTTCGTTTGTGTTGGCTTTTTCTGTGCTTCATGACTCCAAGAAAAACACGTTTGTCCAATTTACACACAAAGGGAGAGGCAGGATGTATCTTTCATATAAAATCACACTTTGCTATGAAAAATATCAGTATGTGTCATTGCCATGTGCCTGTAAACACATGGGAACAAAGGCAGCATTAGTATTCCATGGGAATTGCTCATTTTAAATTGAGTCTCTTAAAATATCTTAGTGCTTTAGTTGCTTGAAAACTTGCATTTGGAGCAAGTTGAATTTTAGGATTTTATCCTAAATATCTGTACTGAAGCAGAGTGGATGAGGCCAAGCAGTCCTGGTTTGGAATGTGTGGTCCTGGTTTGGAATGTGTGGTGCTTTTTTGGCTGTGAAAGGTGTGAGTTTGTCAAAGATGTGATGTTCTGCATGTGCCTCTGAGAGCTCTGTTGGATGTTGCACTCTGGATCCACCAGCACAGGCAGCAGTGATCCCAGTTGCAGAAGATTCTTCTCTGAATCACACCTCAGTGTTGCAGTGTTTCAGCCTGAAAAGAATTCTTTATCACTTTATCTGTAGCCCATTTTAATCATCTTTACTCCTGTTCTGAGGAAGTGTTGAGTAAGATGGACTGATCCACTCTCACTGGTGTTTAGGTCTTCCAGATTTGAAGAAATCTAAGTGATGTCTAGGACACAAGTATCTTTTTTGTTTATATGTAGTTCTCTTGAGTCCCCAGAATCAGAAAACAGTCTGTCTGCTGAGATGCAGCAGTTGGGATGAGAGTCTATTTTGAGTTTTCAAGACTGTTTGTTGCAAGCAAACCCTGTAGGCTTTTACACTGAGAACTGAGCTGTTCAAAGAAGGATGACATCATTGTGTTTCACATGTGTTTTAAGGGACAGCTCCAAGGTATTTGGGCAGAGAAGCTGAAGAAAACCTGCTGTTGTCTGAAATGTTTTTGAGTTTTTCTTGTGTATTCAAACCTCCTTATTATTGAAATAAAGCAATGTTTTAAAGCATGTGATGGCCTGGTGCAAATTCTTTACAAAATGTCCCCCCTGATTGATGGACTGTATTCTCTCTGTTTAAACAAGAAATAGCTGAAATACTTTTCCACTCAGTGAATCCTTTTCTGTGTTTTATAGAGGAGGTTGCACCATTGGACAGAGCCCTGTTCTCATCTGGTGTGTGTTGACACAGTGTAGCTGGCATTAATTGAGCGATGCTAACTGCTTCTTAATTGACACCATTAGCTGAAAATCTGCACCAAAACTCAGTGGCAGCAGTCACTGCAGATAGCCGGGAATGTGAGAGTATAGAACAATCATGGTGGAAGATGAAGAATGAAACTGAGTGCTAATTTCGGAGTCTTTATGAACAAATGGTGTAAGGAAGGGCTGAAGGGTTTTAAATGTGTCTAGCAAATCCCATGTGCTTGTAGCTCTCTTGTTAGTTCTGCTCCCAGTCCTTTGGGTTAGCTGGTGCCATAATGTTTATCCCCATGTATGTCTTATTCTTAAAGAGGATTTTCACTTCTGAGTGTCGGATTAGAGCTCGTTCAGCCACAGCACCAGCAGCCAGAGTAGTTGATCTCAGCACAAACTTGAGATTTCCAGGGCAATTGCTTGAAATTAGTTTTATAAAACATTTGCTCAAAATAGTTTATTTAAATACTCATACAATGCAGTGATTACTTTTCCAAAGTGGATGTTAGTTAAGTATGTTATTCTCCTGTCACATTTGGGGAAGAGTCTCTTTTATTCCTTGTAATTTGGTTGACCTTGATGCCCAAGTCTGTAATTCTGTGCTGTTTTTCTAGTTTACTTTTCCCTATTTTTAAAACCCCCACAACTAGTGTATAACTTGTGCTGTCTCTTTTACCTGTGTTAAGTAGCTCTGCAATAGCCTGGTGCTGTGGTACAGGGAAGATTCACCCCTGGAGAATATCACTTATTTTTTGGAAAAGAAACCAATGTCATTGCTGTTAGTGTCCCCTCACTGTGAAAGAGCTGTGTCCCTAAGTGGTGGCAGTCTCAGATTAAGTGAAGTATTGAGAAAATCTTTACTTCTTTTGAAGTCCACAGAGTTACTTTTGTAATTAAGAATTAAGGTTGCTCTGGTTCCTAAATTGTGCACATCCCTTACATAGTTATTTAGGCTTCATAGTTAACATAGTTATTTAGGCTTCTCTTCCTATGTAATCCTGCCGTGATTTTTTTCAAGGTTTTACTGCCTGGGTGTTTATGATCTTTGTGGTTTAACTTTGGTGTATGAAACCACGTTCAATGTGGATTGTGAGTCAATGGTAGTTTTTATAGAGAGGTAAGATTTTTATTTATGGAGTTTAAATAGTTTTGTACTTCACTCAATCCATGTGTTAGGCAGAGGTTTTAAAATTTACTGTATATTGAAAATATAGCTGCATTTTGCTGAAGAACAAATGCTGTTGACAGACTTAGTTTAACACAGTGAATCTGACAGGAAATGTTTTCCAGCCTGCTAGAAGCTAAAGGAAAAGAGAAGCTTTACCTGTCCAAGCTTTTTGATACTAGGGGGGAAGAAAGAAACATCAATTGTTGCAGAAGAACCAGAGAGCTAAAGCTGCAAAAAGACTTGGATACTGAGGTGCTTCCAAACTCCTCCTTCAGCTGTTCCAGTTAGACGTTGCATGTGTATCTGTCCTACATTAAGTGCAGGAGTGTTTGTGAATTAGTTTAAAATGTGTCTGATGGGGAGACATGTCAGCACTTCACCTGTGACAGCATTCAGGTGGAGGATTTTTAGCACATGATTTCACGTAAAGATCAGAACATGTCTGCCTGAAGGTGAAGCATCACTCTTTGAAGCTCAGAGAAGAGCAAGGACATCCCAAAGAGAAGAGCTTAACACCGCTCTCCACATTTGCAGGGAAGAGTTGAGATGGCATAAAATGAACTAAAATCACAGCATGTAACTGACTTAGTTTGTAATGAGTATGAAGTTATTAACTACAGGGGAGAATGGCATAGAATGTAATATTTTGCACAGTTGATTATTTTGCACAGTGTGACATGGGGTAGAGTTAGCAAAACATCATCATGCTTTGCTAATTAATCTGGCCACCAGCTCTCAATCTTTGTTTAACAGTAACAAAACTATTTCCAGGCATTTCAACTACTTTTTAATAATACAGTCAGCTAGTCAAAATAAGTATTCTTGTGCAAAACAAGAAGCATAACAGCTAGCTAATGGTACTTCTTACATTAGTTACATGAAAAATTCTAGTTAAATATGCTTAAAGTGGAATTAGGAACAAGGGAAATCTTGCATATGCTGTAGCTGAATTCATGTGCATGCAATGAATTATCCAGGTAATTAAAGTTGCTTGGTGCAGTGAATAGCTTTAAAGGAGATATAGGAAAATTGCTTGGACTTAAATACTGTAAGTATGTAATTGCAGAAAATTGTATAAATTTGTCTTGGTGTCTGTTGTTTTTATAATGTAAGTTATGTTTTGTGCTGTAACTGGATTTTGTTGCTGCAGGGAGTTTTGGAAGTGAGACAGCCCATCTTCATAGGCTTCTTGGTAAACAGTTTTTAACAGGAAATCATGAACATGCTTTAAATGTCATAAAGCTAAAACAAATGCCTCTTCTCTTTGAATTCTTCTCATACTCAGATTATTGGGCATTTCAGTTTGATTCTTCCTTTCATAGTTTAGGCTTTTCTAATTGAACTCATTAAGCTGTCTTATGCCTCTTTCAGCTAGAAGGCAATTCTTGTCACTGGCACAGTTCTCCATGGAGATGGACACCCAGTGATACCAATAACTGCATCACAAATATGTGGTAGCTCACTCCTGGTGGAAACCCAGGTTCTGGCTCAGTTTTCTGCACTTCATGGGCATTCTGCTCTCTCCAAAAGTCCTCATCTCCTGTTGTAAATTCTCACAGATTTTTTCTCATTTAATGAAGTTTACTTTGGACCGACTTCTATGCAGCTTTTCATTAGTGAATTGAACAGTGAAACAACGTTTTGTTCCCCCTGCCACAGGTGGTCCTCAGATTGATGACTCTGAGGCCAAGTGTGCATCTAGAGAGCCCTGAGCCCATGTTGGATGCTCCATTTCCAGATGGAGTTGCCAGCACAGTGCCTCTGCTGTCTCTCTGTGTGGCACATTGTTCACAGTCAGACAAGGAAGGAGCACATCCAGTCCTGCCCTTCCAACAGCTGAGAGCACCAGTAGGCTGAGAAGTTGAGTCTGTTTTTTGAAGATGCCAAACCTGTTTTGCACAAAATAATACAATTATTGTCCAGAAGACCTGATCAAATTGAGGTGTCTGTGTTTTTCATGGGTGCTCTTAAAAGCTGTGTCCAGGTGGCTCTCAGGTCACCAGACTGCAGGTAGCATATGTGGCTCATGTTTTCAGGTAATTTTATATCTCTGTGCTGCTCCTGGGATGTGTTTGTGACCAGGCCCATGTTTTATCCTAGGTTTTGAAACTGCCAAGTCCCTGGCCCTGCATGGGGCGTGTGTGATCCTGGCCTGCAGGAGCCCGGCGCGAGGCGAGGCGGCCGTGCAGCGCATCCTGGAGGAATGGGTGAGTGCACATCAGTGCCCAGCACGGGGCTGGGCTCTGCAAGGTCTGACATCCTCTGGGCACTGCCAGCAGGCGCACACAGCACTGCCACGATCATGGGCACATGCCACAGTCTGAGCAAAAAGTGATTTATTGGGTAAATCACTTATTACTGGGTAACGCCGCTGGTGCATGGGGTGATGGAGGTTTTTCGTTCCTTGTGAGTGTGTTGGACTGCAAGGCTTGATGTGCTCTTATCCATGTTGTTTATGCATGCTTTGTAAGGGAAAAAAAATATTTGGAAGAACCACTGAGGCTTGGTTCATAGGAAAGGACATCCCAGAACCAAGGTGAATGACTACCCAAAGGAGGATGGACACAGTCCTCCAAAACAGCCACTATTTTGCCCATATTTTTTGTTCAGTGAGAGATTTCAGAGGGTCATTTTTGGACTTTTCAAACACAAGAATGTTTCTCCTTTTCTGAGTTCGTCAGGCTCTGCAGCCCTGCTGCCAGGCTGTCACAGTGGTTTTTTCCTTCTACCTTCTTCCCACTTTCTTTCATTTTTCTCCCATTTTTGTCACACAAACACTAGCTTTTCAGTCCCATCTATTGCCTTGCTGCTCTTTGATTCCTTTCCCTGATCTCCAGGTTTTTAAATCATCTTCTAAGGCCTTAATTAAAATATATTCAGCTGTCCTAATTTATTCCTCCCACAATCATTTATTTGCTAGCAAGGATTGGAGGCTACTTTTGTTTGAGCTTGCTGGGACTGCTGACTTCCATGAGAGAATGTGGTGACATTTCTACACTTAAATGAATAAAAGACCAATGGATCAGATTCTTGGATTTCTATTTCTTTCCAGCTAAAATTAGTCATGACTGTTTTGCTTTTATTTCCTGAGCTCTCAAAGTATTTCAGCTGCTCCCAGATGACATGGGAGAGCACTCAGTAGTATTAATATTTACACATAAGTAGTCTAAAGATAATTATAATATTTATTAATGCAAAACAAATGGTGCTTATTTATGTGTATTTCCATATAAGTGATGCTTTCAATATTGCTGATTCTTGTAACCACAAGTTTCATGAAGAATCAGTCTTTGGATTTAGGCCTTTTTCTCTTGCCCAGATCATATGAATGATTTACAGTAAAGGGTTGGTTTGGAAAAATGTCTTCCTTGCTGCTTTCATCCCATTAAAACTCTCTTATTTTTAAAATTAAAAAATAATTATTTAAATGGCATAGAATTCCAAGAGAATTTCAATAGAGGCCAGCACAGTGTCTATTCTTTTTCAATAGAACTGGATTTGGTGATACTCTGTTTGAATTTGATAGTCCCAGTCCAGCTAAATATGGCTGTTTCTATGGGTGTTATCTAACTAAAATTAGGCAGTGGTGAATATGTTTTATTTGAAAAATGTTCCATTACCCTCTTAATCCTAACCATATCTCTGACCACTTTGAAGACAATGGGAGTTCAGAATACTTGTCTTAAATACCTGTATTATCTCACCCAAAGTTAATGAGTTGTTAATTGAATGAAGAACATTGAAGGTCAAATTACTTCAGAAACCCTGCATTTATTTACTAACAGTTTTCAAATTCTAATTGTTCAGAAAAAGAGTCTCATCTGTAAACTGGTAGCTGGAAAACCTTCAATGCATCTTTGTAATGGCTTTGTTGTTGTTTATTGAGAGGGACTAATTAACTTTGATTATTGCACTAATATTATGGCACTTTGACAGTCCCTCAGATTTATGACTCTGGGAAAATAAACAAATGAAATGCAGGTGCTGGAGCAGAAAGAATAAGTTATTACTGAACTTTAATTACTTGGAGTGTGTAACCAGGAGAGAATTAGTTGATGAATTACAAGATGCTTAAAATTTACATCAAATTGTAAGCAGTCTTGAGGAAAATAAACACAAAATCCAGCCCCAAAATCAGCTACTGAAAACAAAGAGACAAAGATTAATTTGACTGATTTGCTTCTAATATTAAAATATGGATGTAAAATATTAATTTTTAGCTTATAGGTGTAACTACAGGAAGTTGTTAATTGAAAATCCTTTCCTAAAAACGAAAAAGTTTAAAAAAATACCAACAACCTCTGCATCTGATTGAGATGAATTCTCAGTATGCAGCTGCAACTGTTCTGCTAGAAAGAGCTTCAAAGCATGCACAGAATTTTGTCTCCTCTGTTCCTGGGGAAAGCAAAATTATTGAAAGGAAGTTGATTTACTTTTCAATTTGGAATCAATTTAAAGAAAAATGCAGCTGGTTAGGTTGCAGCCTCACCAAGCCTCATGTTCATGGTACTCAGGTAGGATTTTCAGTAGCAATAGTGCTACCCACTTGTTTTATGTTTTCTTGTAGATCTTTGAGATTGAATCTCTGAGCTGCACTATTAAATACAATGTTCCTCCAGTAATTTGAGGGGAAGAAATCTGATAAATATGTTCCTACTCTTCAACTGGGTTCCCAAACTTCATTTGCATGAAATATGCTCTTATAACAAAAAAACTCCAAACTCTTGACAGATGGAGTTCTAGTGTGTTTACCTGTCCTAAGTGTGGAATTTTACTATAAATTGTTGTAATTTAAGTGGTATTTCTATAAAAACATGTATATTACCAAAAGCAGTGTGTACCCTCTGCTGACTCTTCTGTGGGGCAGTATTTGGTACTCAAGGTTTAGATGTTGGACACAGAATATTTCTTTTTCCATTCTTTGTAGATACAAAAGAGTTCCACATACTTTGCAAGCAGATAATTAAAAGTGTGCAACAGAACAACTTGTTATTTCAAATTTTGATACAATTATCTAATTGATGGGCTGTATTAAATAGAACTTGAAATAAATATGGAAAAACCTGTAATTTTTAAAACCCCAACCACCACCTCTCCCAAACCACAACAAAAAAAACCCCAAACCAAATCAAACCTAGTGTAATGCAGCATTTAAAAATAAAGTACAGCGTACATAAAATAACAGTATTAATGAAAACCACCCAGCTGGGTCCCCTAGTGAGTCTGTTTGTGACATCCCTGTCTGCAATGCCACAGAGTGTCTGCAGAAACACCTCTCTGCTCTGGGCCTGCTGTACTTGGAAATCAGTTGTTAGGCAAAAAATGCAGTTTCAGTTTGCTTGTAGTGAAAGCTGAAAATCAGGTTTATAAAGACAAAATGGGATGGCTAAATGGCTTGGGAAAATCCAATTGTTAAGATTTAGAGAAAAAAAGCAGGAATAATTGGAGAAAATAAGATTTTTTTTTCAGATTAGCTGCCATTATGTTTAAAAAGCAAATGAAAACTGATCTTAACTGGCTGCTGTAGACAAGTCTAGAGAACTTTGTTTGTAACAATTTATGCCTGAAGAGCTGTTTTATAGGGGATTTGAGCCATTTGAGTGGGGATTACCCATATAAACTTGCTAATTACTTTGGTTAAGTGACATTTGTTTGCAACCTGAAGTATTCCAGTTATTTTCTTTCTAAACGATAGCAGAATTTTGCTAATATTGCAAATCAAGGGTAATTGCCTTGTGTAAAGCATTGTGACAAGTTTTAATGTGATTGGTCTGGCTGGTCTATCAAATATAATTTTTATGGAGGGGTATGGTTGATTATATTGGTGCAATCTAATGTTTATACACATGCATTTATATAGACAGAAAAAGGAAGAGAAAGTGTGTAAAGGCAGCAGATAAAAAGAGAGATCAGTATAGCTTTCCATTTGATATCTGGAAAATGAGTGTTCGTGCACGATGACGTTCAATATCAATTTAAAACTGTTTGATAATTTCTTGCTCGGAAAAGAGGAAATTAGAATTCTAGAGTTATGATTCATTTTAATCAGAAAGAAATTGTCAAACATAAATCTCTCCTTGAGTAGTGAAAAGGCCTGAAAGCAGCCAAGAAAAATATCAATACTTTGCAAAGGAGGAATGATTGTTCCAATTCGTAGCTTAATTGACTTTGAGGCTTAATGAAAAACACTACACTGCTGTTTGTACACATAGTTGCTCTGACAAACATGGAAATCTATGCTCCAGGAAGAGAGGCTAGGTAATTTATTTTACATTATTATTGATATAATTTTCTAATTGAGTATGAGCAGAATGTTTGGATAAGAGTGCGTAGCTCCAGATGTTAGTGGTATTCTCAAGAAAATACTTAAGAATATGAATGAATAAAATATTTCATAAATCACAGCTTTTCTTGCCAAGAAGCTCTCATTTATTTATTCCTGTCAAATAGTCTTTGAAGTACATATTAAAAGATAAATTGTAAGTTTAATATTTCATAAAAAGTATAATGTTTCTTTGGTGATTATTCCTCAATGTTAAACCTACATTAAAGATTAGATTAAACTGTAAGAAGAACATTTGACTTTGCTTTTTAAGTAGAGACTCACAAGGTAGAGATGTGACAAGAGAAGAGAGAAAAGCTGTGAAGAAAACCAACCAAACAAACATGACTCCTTGCTGTATTCCTTTCCCCTGAAGTATTCTTCACTGAAGGAGTGATTTATATTCTTGCTGATTAAGTAACTGAATGAAATTAAAACCTGATAAGTGAGTCTTTGTATTCCAGTTGTGATCCTGTGAAGTGCAGAAAGAGAAGAAGCAAACTGGGCATGTTTGCCAGTCCATGGGCAGCAGTTTTCATGTGGTCACTGTGTGTGTTTCCTCCTCGAGGAAGGGGCTCTGTTTTCCCTTAAAGTGTTTGGTCTCCACTGCTGTCCTTGGTTTAGAATTTTTTGCAAACCTCCTCATGGTTAGTGACAGGTTTCCATTTATGGGAAAAGCTGGAGACTGCCTAGGAGATGGCTTTGGAGATGTAGTTAATGCTGACCAAAACCACAGTCTGTTAGTACAGAATCAAAGGGTTCTAAGTGGTGCTGAATAAAAGCTCTTAAAAATAGTCCTCAAAATAGCATATATTTCAGAATACCCTACAAGAAAAGCACATGAATTTCTGTGACTATTACTTCCAATATTCTGTTATTATTTTG